CACTGCAAGTGTCCAGTGTTAATGAAAGACAAAATAACATGTTACTTGCGAAATAAGATAAAAACTCAACAGTGTGTATCTTCAGAGATCCCTTAGTATAAATGTGTAATTCATTTTTATTTCAAAGTGTCATTATAAGGGGCCTTCAGTGTTCCTAAATGGAATATAGGCATAATTCACCTGATCCCTAATAGAAATGGAACCCGTTTGTGCAGACAGAACAGATACAACAGAACATGATGAGACAGCTACCTCTAAATCAGTACCTCTTTCAGCTTTTAATTGTCCTCTAGCTGTTGGCTGAAAGGGAAGTTACACCCCAGTGTTCTCTGTGCTGTCACAGAAGCATTGTGATGGCATTTTTAGAGTCGTGTAAGAGTGATCCTGGGAAGCAGAAAGTGGGCTCTCGAAGCCTCCCAGATTCACTCATCTGTGTGGTCAATGGGTTTCTCAAGTTCTATGCATTGTCCATTTTGGTTCTGAGGAAATAGTGGTGAGGTGGGGTTGATGGAAGTTTGACTTACCTGGAGTGGGGGACTTGGCAGTGTATATAGAGGAGAATTCTGTACCATGCCCTTTGACCTTTCACACTATTCCTCTAGAGCAGGTTCAAGCTAAGATAAAGAAACTGTAATTTTATGTTAATGTTTAATGCTTGGATTAAGATGCTGAACTGAGTTTAGGAATGCGCTTCGATTATGTATTAAGATTTGAAAAAGTTATAGAATTTACTAGAAACAATTCAAATATCCATCAGCTAACAAATGGATAAACACATTGGGGTATATCCGTACGAAGGAATACTACTCGGCAATAAAAAGGAATTAGCTACTGATAGATGCAACAACATGGATGAATCTTTAAAGCATCATACTAAATGAAAGACGCCAGACACAAAAGAGCACATACTGTACAATTCCGTGTGTATGAACTTTGAGAAGATGGAAAAATATCGTGACAGAAAGCAGACCAGTGCTTGCAGAGGCTGGGTGGAGGTAGGAATGGACCACAGAGGGCAGGATGGAACTTTCTGGGTAATGGAAATATTCTATATGATAATTATTAAGGCTGTATCTATTTGTCGCATCTCATCAAATCGTACACTTAAGATTGGTGAATTTTATTGTACATCCATTATACTTAAATAAAACTGGTTAAAAAGAAAATATGGTAGAATTGGAGGGGGAGGGAGGGGATCCTAGAATGTGTTAATTCCTGGAAGTGACCAGAAAAATTATGGGGCAGTTGAGCTTCATCCAGAATCTGGGATTAACATGAGGAGAAGTTTAAAGTGATGATGGAAGATAAAAATGAGAACCCATGAGTTCTTCCTGATCATAACTGTTTAATATATAAACCACCCAGCCTAGTACTTAGCACATGGAGGCACTTAATAAATGGTGAGTGCTATTAATTCTCTTGTTGATGTTGTTACTGTTACTACTTAGAACAGTGCACTAAGAGTGTCTAGACAACCTTTTAGGAGTTGTGAATGTAGACAGAACCTTGCTCTTAACCAGTGAAGAGGGCTTATGAGTTAGCTGGTTCTGATGATTTGAAATACACAAAAGGAGGTGGAATGTATCAATGACTGGTTTAGGCTAATTAATGAACTATTATGTATCCCAGAAGCTGAATATTAGAGCATCGTTTCACAGACACATTCTTAGCTTTGGTGTGTATGTCAAATCTTTTCTGAGCTAGCTCAACCCATTGTGAAGACTCTCATAAGAAGTTTGTATCTGATGAGAGTTAAGAGTTCCAAAGTCTACAAGCATTCAACAAAAACAATGGCTGTATGTACAACATTGGGATCATTTTGAAATTTTTTTTGGCCATGTGAGAAATGGAAGGTGTGCCAACAAAGACCACAGGAGTGTGAGGCACCTGTTAACTTGGATCATCACGTGGGATGTGCAAAAGGGAAAATGTAATAGACAACATTTATTGATTCATTTTTATTTTTATTTATTTATCTATTAGGTTTATTTAGTTAATTAATTAATTTTTTGGCTGCATTGGGTCTTCGTTGCTGCACGCGGGCTTTCTCTAGTTGCGGTGAGCGGGGGCTACTCTTCCTTGCGGTGCACGGGCTTCTCATTGCGCTGGCTTCTCTTGTTGCAGAGCACAGGCTCTAGGCGCACGGGCTCAGTAGTTGTGGCTCATGGGCTCCAGAGCGCAGGCTCGGTAGTTGTGGTGCACGGGCCCAGTTTCTCCACGGCATGTGGGATCCTCCCGGACCTGGGCTCACACCTGTGTCCCCTGCATTGGCAGGCAGATTCTTAACCACTGTGCCACCAGGGAAGCCCCTTGACTCTTTTTATTAATTTTTATTGGAGTATAGTTGCTTTACAATGTTGTGTTAGTTTCTTCTCTACGGCAACGTGAATCAGCTATATGTATACATATATCCCCTCTTTTTTGGATTTCCTTCCCCTTTAGGTCACCACAGAGCATTGAGTAGAGTTCTTGTGCTATACAGTCTGTTCTTATTAGCTGTCTATTTTATACATAGCATCAATAGTGTATATATGTCAATCCCAATCTCCCAATTCCTACCATCCCCCCTTCCCCCTTGGTATCCATACATTTGTTCTCTACCTCTGTGTCTCTACTTCTGCTTTGCAAATAAGATCAACTATACCATTTGAGAGTCCATATGTGTTAATATACGATATTTGTTTTTCTCTTTCTGACTTAACTTCACTCTGTATGACCATCTCTAGGTCCATCCACGTCTCAACAAATGACCCGATTTTGTTACTTTTCATGGCTGAGTAGTATTCCATTGTGTGTGTGTGTGTGTGTGTGTGTGTGTGTGTGTGTGTGTGTGTGTGTATATATATATATATATATATATATACCACATCTTTATCCAGTCCTCTGTTGATGGACATTTAGGTTGCTTCCATGTTCTAGCTATTGTAAATAGTGCTGCAATGAACATTGGGATGCATGTGTCTTTTTGAATTATCATTTATTCTGGGTATATGCCCAGTAGTGGGATTGCTGGGTCATATGGTAGTTCTATTTTTGGTTTTCTAAGGAACCTGCATACTGTTCTCCATAGTGGCTGTATCAATTTACGTTCACATCAACAGTGTATGCGGGTTCCCTGTTCTCCACACCCTCTCCAGCATTTAGTGTTTGTAGATTTTTTGATGATGGCCATGCTGACTGGTGTGAAGTGATACCTCACTGTAGTTTTGATTGGCATTTCTCCAATAATTAGTGATGTTGAGCATCTTTTCATGTGTTTGTTGGCCATCTGTATGTCTTTGGAGAAATGTCTATTTAGGCCTTCCACCCATTTTTGGATTGGGTTGTTTGGTTTTTTGACATTGAGCCACATGAGCTCTTTGTATATTTTGGAGATTAATCTTTTATCAGTTGCTTCGTTTGAAAATATTTTCTCCCATTCTGAGGGTTGTCTTTTATTCTTGTTTATGGTTTCCTTTGCTGTGCAAAAGCTTTTAAGTTTCATTAGGTCCCACTTGTTTATTTTTGTTTTTATTTTCATTACTCTAGGAGGTGGGTCAAAAAAGATCTTGCTGTGATTTATGTCAAAGAGTGTTCTGCCTTTGTTTTCCTCTAAGTGTCTGGACTTACATTTAGGTCTCTAATCCATTTTGAGTTTATTTCTGTGTATGGTGTTAGGGAGTGTTCTAATTTCATTCTTTTACATGTAGCTGTCCAGTTTTCCCAGCACCACTTACTGACTTCTTAATGTGCCCGGCACTGTACTGTGCTCAGTAATTTCAAGAATCATTATGTTTAAACTTCATCACAACCTTAAGAGATAGATGCAGATGAGCAAAGAGGTAGCCCAAGTATTAAGAAGCAGATCAAAATTTGTATCTGACTCTAACAGTTGGGAATCACTGATGTGGACCCTGGGACAAAGCTTGGTGAGGAGACATGAAATTTTATCAGAGCTAGGTTGCTGACATTATGTTTTGGGTGTCCCTTGTCCTGTCCTGGGAATGGGATGAAGAGAAGTAACTGACATCTGGCCCAAACTCTCTGAACCTCAAGCAGTAAGTCCATAGGATAGCAGTATGTATTAGGTGATCAGTAAATGATTGTTGAAAGAATCCATAGCTCCATGTCTGAAAACTTAGAAAGCAGGATTTGTGTACAGGTAACCCTTGCTTTTCCAAAATTCTCTTTCTGTCACCTCACTTTGACCAAAATCTGTATTAGTACCTGTTTCTGCTAACCAAAGGAAATCCAAAGAGGATTTTCATTTTTACACAAAAAGGCAAAACAGCGAAAGTGATGTTCAGCCTTTGTTTTGCAGCAGCTCTTACAGAGGCAGCATGAACCCTGACCAGCAAGGCTGGCGTCTCTAAGCTCCATCCGCTCCCCAGGCAACTACACCCAGCATCTCAGCATCCAGCCGCCATGGCTTTGAACTGTGTCTGTGCGCATCTGTGCTTTATCTAGGTTTACATTGTGCAGCCGTTAGCAAGATGTGTCCTAAGGTAGTGGCTTCTACTTTCAGATAGCAGGGGAAACCTATACTACACTCTTAAGGCAGAAGGATACCAAACATAACATAAGGTTAATTATCCATAATGGGGCTTAAGTTATTTTCATAGCTGCTCATCTGACTACGTCTATTTTGAAGTCCGTTTGGGGCAATGGCATAGACTAACTTCTATGTAAGTTTTCTGGCATTCACAATAACTTGAGTTTTGATAAATCTTTAATTATATTTGAGGATTATCAAACTGAGACAATTGTTGATCCTAAATGAGAACAACGGGTTAGCATGCAGACTCTAATGGGTACATTTATCATTTCCTTATCATACTGTGCTTCGGGCTCATTGTTTATTATTCAAGAAAGTAGAAATGCCATTTCTTAGAATAAAAATGTTCTTTATAATGTAAGCAGTAGATTGAAGCTGTACAGATTGGTTCTTTAATGAAATAGGCAACATTCCAATGGAACTGACAAACTTTATTGCTATTTGTTGTATTTTTTTCTCATTACAGATGGACCCGATTCAGAAAGCTGTAATAAATCATACTTTCGGGGTCCCTCTCCCTCATCGAAGAAAGCAAATCATATCATGCAACATTTGCCAGTTGAGATTTAATTCTGATGTAAGTTTATCATTTAGTATTCACTGGAAAAAAATGTATTCTGCTGTTCTAATCTTGCAGAAGAGATTTCTTAAACATTTTTCTCCAATAACTTAGCACGTCAAAATTCAAAGGTAACATTTTAACTCCTTATGTGCTTTAAGTTTGGACTTTATTATATTATGTTTGGTTGTTTTCTATAAAAAACTCACACCTAAACAAACTGGTATACTTGCACTTTGATGGTATTTTTTAGTCTCTTGGGAATGCTAAATTTAGGTAACACACTTTGCCTTTGGGGAATGGTAAAAATTTAGGACTAACGAGGCTTTCAGTAAATCACACCTCTGAAATAAGGTAGGTCCCAGATTCTATTTCAAAGCCAAGATTTTGGCTTTGTAAATTCTCTTCTCCTGCCCTGACGGTCCCCAGTTGTAGATCTCTGGTGTCTTTAATTGTATTTGTGTTAGAGACCTCCAGTCACTGACCTAGAAGTACAAGCATTTTAACAGGGGGTTCTGAAGACCTCAAAGGCCCCCAGCCCCTAATGAGTAAAAGTTAAGTGGAGAACATGACAGGAGCAAGACAGTGTAGACCTGACACTCTGCAAGTTATTCACAGAGAGGGATCCTCATCTTTTATACCTTTTCTAACGGACAGTGTGGACTCTGGATTCATCACAGAAGCTAATTTTGCTTGTGGTCAATATGAAAAAACTGCCACCCGTCCCCAACCTACTTTGGAATGGAGTCGGTCCTGAGATACAGAAAAGAAAAGGGACGTTGGTTTGGAAGGAATAAAAATTGAACATCTTGTTGACACTCTTGGTAAACAGAGGACCCCATCTATCAAAGTGGCCTTTCCAGGGTGCCATGTTATTGCCCTAACTGGATATGCTGTATGGAGATGACCAAACAGCTCTGGATTCTGGAGAATGTTAGGCCTTCCAGTATTTAATCACCCTAGGCAAGTGTGTCCCTTAGCTGATCTGATCATAAGGGTTTCATATGAGATAATCAAGCACAGGAAATAGATGTGGCATAAATAAAGTGGCTTTTTCCTTCTGTGAAAGCATTTCATTTGTATAAGGATTGCTACTGTCTTATGAACTCATAGCTACTAGTATAATCATCAGGTAATTTTACAAGTTTCCTTCTGTTGGCTTAAAAAGAGGAATAGATTGCCTGCATAGCACCTGAATGGCATTTGCTGCTGTAAAAAGAATACACTAAACATACAGCATCTTATTTGAAGAGTTGTCTTTTGTTTTGTTTTGTTGTTTGTTTTTGAATACTGAGCACCTTGATTCGATTTGAATTTTAAGAAAATTACTATAGTTTAATTTATTAAAAAATATTTCAAGTGATGAATGTTATATAATAACCTCTTCCAGCTGGTGTAAAAAAAAAAAAAAAAACAAAAACAAAACAGTTTTCCTGACTTGCAAATAAGACTTCTGAACTCAACAGTTGCAATTTTGATTTTTTTTAAATACTCAGCAAACAGTCATATAGTTCCATAATTGTTAAGTGTGTCCTTCTTTATTCCTTTTCTTCTTAAATCGTATTGATATTTCACTTTGGTATTGATCAGATAATGTTGCAGAAGTCTCAGAGGAGCCCTGTTTCCCGCTCCTTATGTCTAATAGGGGCTGTTTCAAATATCAACCCTTCTGCCAACAATTTCACTGCTAATGTTTTTCTCTATATTAAGCAAACTTCCTGTAAACTGGAAGCCAGAAAGAGACTTCAAGCTCGTTGAACCCACTCTCCCACTAAATGTAAGAAAACCATTTGCTATATCTAGACTAGGTCTTCGGGTTGATTATCCCCAGTGATGGGTAACTCACCACTTCAAGACACAATTGGTCTTTTTTTTGGCAGGTGTTTCTACCAATCCTGTAGATGGATATCAAAGTCATATTTAAAACTTTAGAAATACTGTCAGGTATGCTTTAGGAAACACACTATGTTTTCATATATGATTATTAACATAAAGAACATAATGTAAAATAAAGATTTGCATATTTCTTTTCTAAAATGTAATCATTTTACTTCATAGTAAGAGAATAAAAATGTATTTGTATTCATTTGCTAATGAATTTTCAAAATGACATAGGAATCAATTTGTATTTATTAGGGAAATTGCTTCTCATTCTTACAACTTTGTTCTCAGGTTTCTGTAAAAGGAAAATGGCCAAGGTATTTGGAGGATGGGCAAGAATCAGTCTCAGTCATAATTAAACAATTGCAGACTTGACCACTCATTAGATAGATGGTTACTGTGTTAATCTTTTATTGTTGCTGTAACAGATTACCACAAATTTGGTGGTTTAAGACAACACAGCTCTATTAGTTTATAGTTCTGGAGGTGAGAAGTCAGAAATGAATTTTTTTTTTTTTTTTTTTGCTGTGCTGTGTCTTAGTTGCGGCACGCGGGATCTTTAGTTGCGGCATGCGGGATCTTAGTTCCCTGACCAGGGATCAAACCCGGGCCCCCTGCATTGGGAGTGTGGAGTCTTAACCACTGGACCACCAGGGAAGTCCCCTTGCCTTTCTTTTCTAGCTTCTAGAAGCTGCCCCCTTGGCTCGCGACCCCCTCCCATCCTCAAGACAACAAGGCCAGTTGAGTTCTTTGCATGTGGAATTACTCTCTCTCTCTTTTGCCTCCCTCTTCCACATTGAAGGACCTTTGTGATCACCATGGACCCACCTGGATAATCCAGCATAACTTTCCTATTTTAAATTTAGCTATTTAACAACCTACTTTCATCTGCTAATTTAATCTCCTTTGTCACGCCACGTAACGTAACATATCCATCGTTTCCAGGAATTAGGACTTAAACATCATTATCCTGCCTACCATAGGTACTCATGTGGATGTTTGACTTACATTTGAACTGAATTTCATGACCACCTGAATTTATCAGATAATTACCCAGTCCAAATCTTCGGGCTGTATAAACTGGACACATGAATTCAGTGCCCTTTTCCTTGCCTTGAACCTTGAATATAAATTCACTATGCAGTGCAAGTTTTTTAAATTGCAGTTTTTTTTAATAGGAAGACCCAATGTTATTGAGTTTATAAATGACATAGCAACATATTAACTGTGATTTACAAACGAAATATAATTATTGCAGAATTGAAATACAGGAGTAGAAACTCCTTTAGAGACTTTAAATATCTCCGTAGCATTATTATGTCAATAAAGGGGACCTAATGTGCTGAAAATATAAGATTTGTTTATTTATTGACTGGTCATATCTATATATACTAATTTCATGAAGTATTTAGTACTGAATGCCAAGATCAATTGGATTTATCGTTCATTCATTCATATATAAAAAAAGAAAATACATACATATGTATGTGTATATATGTATACATACATATGTATGTGTATATATACGTATATATATATATTTATATAGATGTATAGATATAGATATCGAGCATTGTATTCCCAAAAAGCTTTAAATCCCAATACAACTGTCTGTTTGCTCTTTCCAGGTAAATCTGGAAGTTATCTTGCCATTTCCATTCTTAAACCTAGAATCTGGAAAAGTAACACTGTAATTCACTTGTATGCTTTGTTGAATCCTCTATCACATAGGAAAGTATTTTTGCCTTGTGAACCTTTTTACATTTCAAAGCTTCTTCCCCTTCCAATGAAAATAATAGCTTCTAGTGCTTTTCATCTGTGCATCATGAAAATTCAGTTTCCTTTCCCTCTAAGCTTTTATTTATTTTTTTAACCCTTCGTATTATAAAGTCTGTAGTTTGGTGTTATGCCATACCCGTTTCCTGTACAGTACTTTTTCCATTTTTAGCCCTGCAGATGTCTTTCTAAGTGGCACATTATATTGTATGCACTTTAAATCAGATTGCCTTCTCCTGGTGCAGGCTTTTTCTTTGGGAAAAAAAAAAAAAATTTTTTTTTTTTGACATTTATGTGAAACACACATGAGGTTATGCAGAAAGCTTCCAATTAAAGAATGAAAGGTTGTAATTTGTCCAATTATTTTATCAGCATCTTAAAATCAGCATAAATTACCGTTGGCCTGGACCAGTTAATAAGTGTGCCTTTGAAAGACAGCTTACAGCAAGGCCAGCACATATGTAAAATTATTAAGTGAGGTAGAAAATGATTAATTACTCAATGACTGTTTATAGAATGGGAAATAAGATCTCAGGCCCCAAAACTGAGGGATCATAAAATTGCGGCATCTGATCATCACTCTGGTTAATATCCCCAAAAGAACATTTCATGATACGTTAAAGATGGAAGGAAACTTTTGCTAATTTCACAGTAGAAACTGAAGTGTAGAGAGAGTGTAGGAGGCTTATACCAGGCCACCTAGCCAGAGGCTAGCCACACAGGGTCAGAGTCCACTCCAGGCTGTTTCTGCTTCACCTGGTCCAGGTAGGGCAGCAAGTCCATCCAGAGATCCAGCAGCTGCTACAACAATGGCATGGATCGCATCCTGTGTGTTTCCTGCCCAGTCCAGCTGCCCCAAAGAGAAAGCCTGAGGGCTCCTTCCCCCATGGAACTAACCCAGGGCAGTCAGAGCTGCTGTGGAGGTCACCCTCATTGCGGGCTAGGCCCCGCCACAATGACTGACAAGTCCTCCCAAACGGCATCACTCCTGTTCACTCACACAGTTCAGTCATAAACATGGTGAAAATTTAAATATAAATGCAAACTGAACTACTGAACTATGATACAGTAACAACAAATCCATTATGACTCAGAATGGCCAAGCATTAATTACTTCAGGGGACTGTTATGAACCAGAGGAAAAGCAACCTCATTAGAAGATAACATTAGGGCTTCCCTGGTGGTGCAGTGGTTAAGAATCCACCCGCCAATGCAGGGGACACGGGTTCGAGCCCTGTTCTGGGGAGATCCCACATGCCACGGAGCAACTAAGCCCATGCGCCACAGCTACCGAGCCTGCGCTCTATAGCCCGTGAGGCACAACTACTGAGCCCACGTGCCACAACTACTGAAGCCCACAC